GTCATGCACATAGATTAAGAATAAGGTGGATGCAAGGATAGAGCCTTGGGGTACGCCGGCTTTGAGGGTGAATGGAAGGGATAGGGATACGCCGACTTTTACGCGGATTTGTCGGTTGGTGAGATATGAGGCGACTAGTCTGATGAAGTGTGGTGTGAACTGGATTTTAATTAGTTTCCAGATCAGGCTCGCGTGTCAGACCTTGTCGAATGCTTTTTCTGTGTCTACCAAATTATTGAACATCAGAGTTTATATGCCTATCAATGTATCATTGACAGGCGATGGGTCGTTATGCGCAAGCGACTATGCGATTCTCTTCCCATTGGCTCGGCATTACGCTATCTCTCTCGCCACGCTGAGCTCAGACACCTATAGTGTATACAGTTGTTTATACTACAGTCCTACTAACCTGTGTTTTACTAAATCAATATTTTTTTTAATAATTAGAAATACAATATGTCTGACAGTGATAACTTAGAAAGTAAAAGTGAGCAGCCTCTTGCAAAGAAAGCAAAATCACACTACCACATCCTTTTAAATCATTAGTAAGTTAATTAAATTATTATAATTTGATTTGAAAGGGATATATTTTTAGGAGTGATTAATTTTTGGGAAAGAAAGTTTTTGGCTTTCTACTACTCCATCTGATACAAAAAAATGGATGAGAGAATCTTCCAAAGAAAGGAAGGAAGTAATAATTTGAAAATAAGTAACTCTATACATGGATGTGTAGATCATGCAAAGAAGTAACTTTCAGACACAAACTGAAAGAAAGTCCTCCTGAAACAGCTACTTTCATATAAACNTTATATGAAAGTAGCTGTTTCAGGAGGACTTTCTTTCAGTTTGTGTCTGAAAGTTACTTCTTTGCATGATCTACACATCCATGTATAGAGTTACTTATTTTCAAATTATTACTTCCTTCCTTTCTTTGAAGATTCTCTCATCCATTTTTTTATTATAATTTATAATTGAAGTATGCATTTATCTGTGCATCAAGCCCGCATCTATTTGATCTATCTGAAGGGTCAGTAAATGTAAAATCTACTGGTTGAATTGAAATTTTCAGACCACATATTTTTAAATTTTTCATTGAACAATTTTAATTTCATTCTAATGAAAAATAATGTACTGAAACACTTGCTTGAAAAATAAATTTCATAAAAACTGACATAATTGTATTTCAAAATCAGCTGATAGCGAGTAGCACAGAAATGTTTTCCTCATTTGTCATCACCAATAACCACAAATTAAATATATAATTAACCGATTTTCTTTAATAATGATATTTATAATTAGAAATCTCTAGTAATATATTGCAATAAATAGCTAAGTTTCTTGAGTTCACTATTATATTTGAAGTCACATCAAATTTTTTTCTTGTATATTTCAAATACATGATTTTTATAAATATTTCGATACCCAACTATCATCACAGTGGTCACAAAATATTATTATTTATATTGAAACGGTAGAAATATTTTTAGGAGTACAGTACAGTACATTTGGGAAAAGAAAGGTTTTCGCTTTCTACTTCTCCTTTTTCATCAATATGGAGAAGTGGAGTGTCAATAAATTTTTCCCCAAAAACATTCAGGCTTGTTAGCGGTTGGTGCCTGGTTTTCACTTTTTTTTTCGCTTCCTGGCGTACGTCAGACTTGTCCATTTCTTCCAAGCCTCGAAGGCTTATCCAGACTTTGGAGCTACAAATATATGGACAACCCAAATTGTGTCTAGGAGCCATTGGGAGCCTGGACACAATTTGCCTTCGTTGTCCATATATTGTTTGCCTCTTGTCACATTGTCATAAAATATGACGAGCTGCCCCTGTCTCTTTGTTGCACTGCCCGCAGCTGGGGTCTCCGTTGTATAGCCCTGGCTCTGACTTGGTCAAGGTGTCTTCTAATTATTTTTCCATCTGGTATATCCACCTTATGATTCAACGGGTGAAAATGGTTGTGAATCATTATCTTTAAAAACCTCCATCGTTAAACTCAGATGTTTCCTGCTCATTTGTCGAGCATTTGGAAAAAATCTAGCAGATCACTGTTATAATATTCATGCAGTCATTGTTCACTGTGGTTCTGGTGTTGAATTTGGTCATTATTACGCCTTGGTCAAAGACGAATCGAACTGGTTTAAGTTTGACAATAGTTGTGTTACGAAGTGTTCTAGCGATGTATTGAATCTATTGGAGCCTCTGGAGACACCCTACATTTTGTTTTATAAGAGAGAGAACATCGGCAGATCAAGATCTTCAGATGATGTGGTGCTGCAGGTTTTTACGGATTTTCTTGCAGCTGAAAAAGCAAATGCGCCACTAGAATCAATGAAGTCGCCTCTGCGCGCCAATTAATTTTTATTGTTGTTTAACAATTTCATGATTTGTATCTTGATAACATTTTATTTTTATTAACTGTATTCATCGAAGTGTTTAGTACCCTGTTCATCAGAATCTCGGCTGGTCATTGTTAGGTTAGATTGTGAGCATGTATGTTATTTGTAAGTAGTTACCTCGAGAGATTGACTGAATTATTCCTTGCTTGTGATCTTTATCAATGAATTTTTCACATTATGTGTCATTCCTTGCCCATTATTATTTGATATATTATGAGAAAATGAAATGATTGCATGCTTAGGGAATATTGAAAATTAATTTTGTCAAAATATACTAAAAACCGAAATATCAAATATTTGCACGATCAGTCATGAACGTATTGTGAAATTTTACACCTAAACAGTAAACAAAGTATCAGATATAGGAATATAAGCTTTTATGGCCGCAGTCATGATGAAAGAAAAAAAATCAGGCTGGTAGGCCATTATCGAATGGAACCTGAAGTATCAAAAGTTATTTCTGCTACTAGTGCAGACATTCCAGTGGTTGATTCCGGAGATGAAGGTTATATCTCGAAGTTTCATAAATGACTAACTAGCAAGCTACGTGTTCACTAGCATTTATAATTTTAGAAGTAGGTCGAAGTGATGTTTGGGGTGGTGATGATGATGTGGATGATGGTGATGGCAGAATGATCATGTAAATGCGCACTCGTGATTTGTCCGCACATTTCCTGGATCGTTCTAATTGGAGGTCCGTACTGTTACTCGGTTTTTCTAATAGGTTCACCTTGTTGACAGGAATGCTACTGGTGAAATCTTGATTGAAGTTGTATTCTAGTCTATTTCTGCTTTTTTTCAGTACTGAATACCACGCTCTGTTGACCTGTATACTTTCTTCTTTTTTATTCCAATTGTCGAGGTGCTTGTGTTTTTGTACCTTGATGTTGATTATGAATTCAGTAGTTTCAAAGTAAACTGAGACACAGGAACAAGGAAGGCTGTAAACACTGACGGTTCTGGTTTATCCTTGGTCGATCTAACAGTGTTGCGTGACTTCCAAAATCTAAAGCCACCCTCCTAAAATTTACAAGTCAAACCTTCCACCTCATTCGATGAGCTTGTTTCATGATTTTTTGTTTATAGTTCACTTGATAGAAATTTTAAATTGAAAAACAGTGCACTTTGTTTCATCTCTCTAAGTACCGTTAAAAATCAAATGTGGTAGTGTGGTGACGTAATGGCCCTTTCCCCGCTTCTTGTTCGATTGACCGATAGGAACAATAGAAATAATCAACATTGCCAAATCGTAAAATTTACGGAGCCTATAATCATCAATTCAATTATGGAAGTGTATATGAACCCGTTAACGTTTCAAATAATGAAAAATTCTCCACATGGAATAGAATATACACGAAAAATAATGTTTGGAAATAAGTTCTATATCTAACTTCAGTACACAAAGTCGATAGATCACAAAATATTTACCTAAACTATGATTTTATGCATTATTCAATAATATACAGTTATGAAAATCAAAAAATATAGCAAACTGGATTACAGAATCATTTCAAATATTCAATTTATTCTACAATCGTCAATCTGTACAACTGCAATTTATTATAAAAAAAAACGATTCCTACATACGTACCTCTTTCGAATATAGCTACTAAATTCAAGCGTTACAGGCTCGCTTGAGTAATCTGTTGAATCTTCCAAAACTTGAGAGGAAGGTTGAATGAGATCAAGTATAGACATAATTGATTGTACTCGAACTGATCCAACAAACGGTTCTACAATACTCTACGGTTCTACGGTTTTACAAAAAAACGTTCTTTAATAAGATAATTGTAACAGTTGTATTCACACCGAGTTGACAACAATAACAACAAAAATGGCGCCTGTCAAATTGGATCATCAGATCTGTGATTAGATATTAAAAACCAATACACTTGGCAACTCCGATCTAGACACGATCAATTTTATTGGTCAACAGACACGCGGCCAATTCAAATTCTTGCTTTTCGATTTATTCTTTTTTCTGCAAATATAAAGAGATTTTGGGATCGATTGGGCTTGATAAGTATAATATACCCCTAACTCGATCAGTCAGTCGGTAGCCAAGCGGTTCGGCGTGGGTGCTTTGTTCACTCACTCGAATTGACTGCCGTGTTGGTCGGTGGTTCAAGCCCTAGTCTGAACGATCGATCTTCACTTGCTACCGTCCAACCCGTGTTAGGAATCACACGTTAAAAGGTAAGACCTCATCCCTAGCTCGCACAAGTTTACACTTCTGAGGGTTGTCGTTCGTAGGGGTGCGACATCTGGTTAACGGAAAAACAGATTTTAAACAGATTTTTAAACAGTCCATAAGCAAACCGGTATCATTTTTCATAGCATGAGACAAGCCCATTTGATGATGGGATGACAAATACAACTTGCTGAATGGCAAAGTTATAGAAAATTCCATACTGGCACTTTCCGGAATTTGAGAACATAATGCTCCGGGGATATAATTGGATTTGCTGACGACACAGCTATATTTTATAAATCTGATAAGTGGGAGAATCTGAAACTTGAAACTGAACACGATTTCAAAATTATAAAAAAATGGTTCGAGCACAAACTACTTACAATCAACACAGACAAGACTCATTACTTACCGTTTAGCTGCAGCTCACCTGGACTTCCCGATTTCCAAGAATTGAAAATAGAAAGCACCACTGAAAAATTTGTCATACTACCTGTAAAAAAAATTGAATACTTGGGAATCGTCATTGACTATCGCTTAAAATGGGATCTTCACATAGCATACGTATTAAAGAAACTAAGAACCATTATATTCAAATTTAGAAAACTCAAAGAAAACATACCTGTGGGCCTGATGAGAATGTTATACCATGCATTAGTAGAAAGCCATCTACGCTACGGGATTCTAGCATGGGGTGGAGCTCTAAGGACGCACATAAACCAATTAGAAGTGATACAGAGGAGATTCATAAGGCTGAAATACTCTAAAAACCTCAGATATCCTTCTGACAAACTTTATTATGAATCACAGATCTTAGACCTGAGGCAGTTATACTTCTTCATCACAAGTATCAAATATCATACTTCAAAACACTCCAACCAACTCCCTGTTCATAACTATAATACACGAATTAAAAACTATTACAAACTTCCTTCTATGACTAAAACAACAACACAAAGATCGTTTTCTTACCTTGCACCAAAATGCTATAATCACATTCCGGAAGAGATTAAATTTCTGAAGAGCACTAATATGTTCAAAAAACGACTGAAATGCTTCATAAATAGCAACCACAGAAATGTGATAAGCGAATTGTTAGATAAATAATGCTCACAGTCGGTCTGAGTTTACCTAAATCATGCCTCCTACTTTTTGTATCAAAATCATCATAATCGACTCCCGGTAATTAATTATATTGTTCATTGTCATATGTGTGTGTGTATAGATGTGTATGTGGATGTATGTATATGCGTATATATGTGTATATGTATGTGTATATGTATAGATGTGTATATATATTTTGTCAAGTTATTTATTCATTTTATTCGTTTATTTATCTATATATTGTGGATTTATTTATGTATTGTGTATTTATTTATGTATTGTGTATTTATTCACGTATTGTGTATTCATTCATGTTTTTACGATACTCGTGTATTTATCTATGTATTGTATATTTATTCATTCATTTATTCATGTTATATTAGGCGATATCACGCACAAGAAACATTTTTTTCGAAAATGTTTCTTTTGTGATGCCTTTGTTTGTTCACCCCTATTTTATAATATTTTTGTTGTTTTCATTATGGTGAATAAACTCATTATTATTATATTATAATCATGTCAAGAATTTTTTTCACTTAGCAACATTATTTCAGGCATATCATTCTTAGAAATTATATGATAAAGAACAAAACAAACTTTAAAACGTGAATTCGTTATAATGGTTCAATTGGTTACATTATGCACAGTGACCAAATGTGTTTTTAAGTTTCCCTTTTGTTTGAATCTTTTATGACAGAAGTCACACTTGAACTGTGGTTCCTTGTTGCATTCGAACCTGGTATGTTTATAAATGGAGCTGTGACGTTGGTATTTCTTTGGACACATCTTGCAGTGATACCAAATTCCATCGTTGTTTGACACTTTGAAGTAGTGAGCTGAAAATGGTAATCATTTTTGAAAAACCAGCAAATTTACAATATCTCTGACACACAAAGCCTTACTGTTTATCAACACTAGTAACAATTTTTTCAGTTTCACAAGATTAAAATGAGTGCCAGTTAAGAAGATGAACTGAATTTAGTTATTTCACGGACTTGAGAGATATTAATTATACAGATAAAAAAGAATCATGTATCCAAATGAAAATCGTAAAATGCACAGTTTTTTTCAATTTACATTTTATATACAAGTATTGGCCGAATGCTACATTTTAGTTCATTACTTTGTGATAAAACCACATTGTTTTCATGTATGCCGATTACACAACAATCATTGTGACGTCACCAGATCTGAATGAAATTGAAAACAGAACGAAACTAGTAATCAACGAATTCGAATGTTTGTGTAGGAACAATCATTTAATAAATAATAAAGATAAAAAAACATTTATCCAGTTTTCAAGTGAGTATCAGCGCCCTCTCCAAATAAATCTAGGTTTCAAAACAACAGAATATAGAAAATTCCTTGGAACACAACTTGACAATATATTATCTTTCAATAATCATATCGAATACTTGTGCACTTCTCTGAGAAAAACGAATTTTGCCTTCCCAACAATGAAATAAAATTTTTTGAGACAAAATCTCTTGGATATATACAATGTTCTAGTGTACTCTAAGCTTAATATAAATATTACCATTTGGGGACACTCATCAGAAATAAATAGAATCTTTATGATGCAAAAACGCTTTATTAGACTAATTTTGATCTCAAATACAGATAATCTTGTATGAAAACATTCCAAGACAAAAAAAAATTCACATTACCATGTATTTATTTTTACAAAATATTAAGCTACGTTCATGTATATTGACATTTGCTAACAAGCAATGAGGAAATTCACTCCCATCAAACTAGACGGAGAAACGACTTCCATCAGGTAAAAATAAACCATAATGAGTACAAAGGTTTGCCACTTTATGCCGGGGCAAAATACTTTAACTTATTACCTCAGAGCATTAGAAGTGAAATACATTTTCTCAAATTTAAGAAAAAAGTCAAAGGACTTTTTGGTAACAAGTTGTTTTTACTACCTGAAAGAGTATGAAAATAATATTTTTGTGTAACATGTATTGTTATTGATATAATTGATATTAGATAAAATATGCTAGTTTTTTTTATTAAAACAACAATAAAAATTAATTGGCGCTCCGGGGCGACTTCATTGATTCCAGTGGCGCATTTGCTTTTTCAGCTGCAGGAAAACCCGGAAAAACCTGCAGCACCACATCATCTGAAGATCTTGATCTAACAATGTCCTCTCTTTTATAAAACAAAATGTAGGGTGTCTCCAGAGGCTCCAATAAATTCAATGCATCGCCAGAACACTTCGTGACACGACTTAAACCAGTCCGTTTCGTCTTTGACCAAGGCGTGAGATATATACATTCATGTATCAAAAATAATGAATAAAATTTGACTTTGCCTTCGACTATTGCCAGAGGTTTCAGTTCTACTCCTATCATTTTATGAGACAGAGGAAGTCGAGCTCGTATATAAGCACTTCAAGTGGTTTCTTCCCATAAGCCCGATGATTAAACTCTATCCATCCAACAAACAAAGCAACCCCAACAATGAAAGATACGTGATGAAAATATGATCACTACGCCAATTGCATCGATTGAATGAAATAAACAAGCCACCTTTTCCCCACCTTTTCCCCACTCCATTCACCCCCGTTCTCCGAGCGGTCCTCAACTTACTGACTCGTGGGGGCGGTCTTTGGTTCTACCAAAGTTTACCGAATACTATAAGTTGGTTCACTCCAAGGAATTCGTTTGTCGGTACGGCTCAGGATTGCATTACTTTATATCTCGTGTGCCGACGAGAACTGGTAACTTCAAGCGACACACTGTACTACCTCGGCTGGTAATTACCCGCTGTCGCTAGCGGGCGGCGAGATTTCTCAGATGTCGAAAAATGAGCGAGTGACACGTCTTATAGTATTCTGTAGTCTTTGGTTCTACTTCGTCAGCCTTGGATGTTTGTCCCTTTCTCGGAATCTGGGGTCATCCATGTTCAACGCATCGTGTAGATCGCGTAGCGCTGGGTTGTTGTGCGATGTGATACTATCGAACACGCTTTCTGCGTGTTCTCTCATATACATGTCCACATATTACGTGTCCAGGTCTAAGTCTCTGTATATGTATCTATTTGGGATATAGTACGGTGCGTTTACGGCGGCCCTTACGCTCGCGTTCATAAACGACTGTATCTGCTTCCCTGTATGTTTGTGCGCACTAGCCCCAGGCAGTGCAGACATACAGTATTATGGGCATGAGGACGGTTTTGATCATTAGCAACTTCACTTTCAACCCCATGTTGCTTCTGCGTCCTATGATAGGTGCCACTCGTTGTCTGGCGTATCTAGCCATTCCAATTCTCACAAGCCACCATACGCTGACCAATCAGATTTAACTGCAATCGGCTGGTGGAATTCATTGTTACAGTATCGAAGTGGTTTTAACGCCTGCAGGGTGTACATATACTGTATTTTAAAGTTTGAAATTTTTAAAATTTCAAGTATCATTACAGCTGAAGAAACTGCTAATTTGTGTCCCTACACTCCACCTAGAAAGAAGCCAAAAAAATGCAACTTAATATTGATGAACAAAAATGTAATTATTAACATTTACGAAAATGTAATTGAAGCAAATCCTGTATTTTTTGTTGATGAAATCGTGAGAAAAGTAGGAAAGACTGCTGAAGTTATGAGATAATATAAAAAAAACATTATTTTTTGGCTCCAAAACCATATCCCTCACGGAAGAAAATTATTGATAAGGTAGACGATTTTGATATAAACGCTATTAGAAAGAAACTACCTACATAATTTTTTTTTTCGAAATGAAATGTCATAATTCAGTAGCTTTGTCGCCTGAAAGTATGGGGTAGTATGCGTCAAATCCGGTAGTTCTGATTTTTCGCAGATATGTTTGTGATGTTCGCCTAATGAATAATCCAATTTTTTTTTTTTTCGTTTCAGTTGTTGACCGGCCGGCTGCCCATGACGAGAGTGCTGTTTGAACTCAAAATCCACAGAATGTCTGATCCCAGTCCCCGCTTGGGTTTGTGTTTTATGTATAAGGAGACTTTAAGTGAAGGTCAAGTACGCCTAGTGAAGGGAAGAGATGTAAAAACCCTTCTTGCGTCGAGTATTTCCCTTAAGAACATAAAAAATCAGCAATTATTGAAGGGCGTAAATGAGATATATATGCACAGTGCTTGTCAGATAAAATACAACAATTCGAAGTTGATCAAAGCAGCTGTAAGCAGTGGAAAATCAAATATTACGCCATCAAGGGCCACGAGATCTGTCTCGAAGCAGTTCAATTTCAGAGAACACTGTTGTCTATGTCATTACAATGTCATTACTGCGGGAAAGTTGTCTCACAGTGCAACAATCTTGAAAGCTTCTGAGAAACGTGGTGATGAATGGGCTCTTGAAACAAAAAAACGTATATCTGAGAACACAGATTTGGTAGCCCTTAGCCCGGTTTCGCCAAACGAAGCTTTACCAGGCACCACCAACAGGAAAGTCCAGGGGAAATCGTCAGCATTTCATAGTTGATAAGGCCATGGAAAAGATGTATTTATTTCTGGAAGAGAACCCTGAGGAGTGTCAGTTTTCTCTAGATGAACTCATGAACTATATAGAAGGAGAACGACCACAACTACACCAGTGACCCCAACAGTCACTGAATTCTCACCAGTTCATAGTATGACAGAAGAAGCTCAGATCTTCAAGCAGAAAGAATACGCGTGGTGAAAGCAGCTGCTGAAGTCATACGAGAGGATTTACGATCGCAAGTGATTTATTTTTAATGTTACTCAATTTTATACAGAAAAACTTATTACCTTTTGTTGTACTTATCTTTTTTACTTCATTATTCGTAGCTTAATAAATAGTAGACGAAATGAAAGATGAAATTGTTTCATTTCAAAACTGATTTTTATTTTTAAAACATGTGTTCATTACATAAATGAGAACTTATCAATTCTTCTCTATCTCTCCTTCCTCTTTGAGTTGTTAATTTCAATGTCTTCCTAGTTCATTCTTCACCCTTGAACATCATCGTTCACACTTTCAATATTTTTTTTAACATCCCATCATAAAAAGCTTTAATGGTATAATCAAGGTCAAAATTGAATCAATCAGAAAAACAGAATTGC